GACGTACGATTAAATATATAATTTATATATGAAAAAACTTGGATATAAATAAATATACACGTGTCACCAGTAGGGGTGAACAAATACACCCGCAAACCGACCCACCCGTCCAATCCGACCCAACCCACCCGTATTTATCGCTAAATTGAAGGTTTTGGGTTGGGTGAGGGTTTTCTTTTGTACAACCCGCCTCTTTTGGGTTGGGTTTGGATTTTGGATTACACAACCCGTAGAACCCGACCCAACCCGTGTTCCAATTATTGGTACGAGTTTGTATCCAAAAAAGTATTTATGTCGTATATAGTCATACTTATGAGAAAATTAAGATATTTCACCATATTTTTCTCTTAAAGTCTCACTAATCTAATGCATTCTTCGACTTAAAGTTTAGACATATATTTAATATAGCCATGATTCAAGTAATTTTTTTTTTCTTGTGTACAATTTTAAAAGAATATCATATTATGGATGTGTTCATTTGTAACCTTTTTAGCCTATTTCAACAAATGTCGTGAAAAAAACTAGACATAAGTTGAAGTAAATCAAGTTTTATTAAAATTCTAACAATATTTGTGAATTTTGATACCTTTCACCTCGGTTTATTCGTTTGAATTTTTAATTTGTTATAAAATATTTTTATGATGTAGTATAATTACATATTTTGTGTTGGGTTGGGTTTTTACTTAAAAATATCGCCAACCCGACCCAACCCAATTAGAAACAAACCGTAGGGTTTAGATTTTTTTGGGTGGGTTTGGGTTTAATATTTTCCAAACCGTAGTGCATGGGTCGGGTGATTAAAATGCCTAAACCCGGACCACCCGACCCATGTACACCCCTAGTCACCAGTAACAACTAGCTAGCAAAGCTTGATCACGTTAAAAACTTGACATCGACTTGAAAGGAATCAGATGCGGCTTCTCGGAGCAGATCGATATTTAGCATGAAACTTTTTTTTTTAGGGGATAGCATGGAACTATATGTATAGTTAATTGCAAAAAATTAATTCTTAATACATAATTAAGGATTAATTAAGTTCGATGGCCATAGCACAGCTAGCTACGTAAGAAGACACTATACATAATAATTTTTAATCAGACATTAGATTATTGTGATTATTTTATTAAACAATCGCGGCGAATTTAACCACAAATAGGCTGAAAAGCCGCATTGTTGGCAAAAACAATTGATGGGATGATATAAAAATTAAAATCTATTGTTCTGTTCATAATAGAATCAAGTGGCGATCACTGGCAGGCAAGTGCCCTTTTGATTAGAATAAGCATATATTTGAAGGGATCTACAGTTGTCACTCTTAGTGTTTGATAAATTATTATGAATTTAGTTAATATAAACTTTAGTAAAGAACAATTGTTTGTCGAGAAAATATGATACCTAAGAATTTGTCCCCATTAAAATTTTTGGAATAACATAATTACTATTGGGCTCACTTTGTTCGGATTCACCGTTTATGTCAAAATTTACCGTTGAAAACTCTCGGAACCATGAAGTCGTGCATATACTCGAGTTTTGAGTATGCACTTGATTGTTTAATGATCGATATATGATGAAGTAAAACAAAAGATATCATACATGTAAATACTTAGCAATTAATGCCCTGATCATTTCCCTTCTCTCGCAACTAGATTTTCCGAGCAAAATTTTTGTAATCAAATGTAGCAAGTTGCTGATGAACAATGGATCTTGACAATCGTGAATTGACGAAATGTGGTATGGATTAGATGGTAGATTAGAGAAGAGATAAAATAAATATAGATATGAGAAGGGAATTGAGAAGAGTTGAAGAAGAATTAGGAAATAATTGAGTACGAGACGAGCTACAGGAAGAAGAGAGTCAGAAAGAGTGTCGAAGATAACTGGAATATTATTGTTATTCGAATTTTGGATGGTTAAATTATCCATATAGAATACAACCCAACCCTAATTGCTAATTAAATAATAAAATTTCCCAAACTACCTTATGTCATTAACTTAACACAAACTAATCCCACCTAATGCGCCGCTAGTCGCCGCCGCAAGAACGTCACCGACAACCACAAAACTGTCGGTAGTGGTTAAGAACTTGGAGGGCAAATTGATGATATGGTGGCCGTTTGGTTAGTTGAGAAGTCGGCTTCCTTTCACTCATGGTAAAGGCCGAGAAAAGGGATTAGAAGAATCAAGAAAAAAATTTAAGGGAAAGGACGCTAAATTTTTTTTTTATTCAATTAACCTTTCTCGTTTCTCAACTGCCGCCAAGATGGTGAATAATATAATTCCCTCTTATAACTCCACTTCGCATTTTCTATTCATGAATTTGATTCACTCGAGAGAAGGTTTAGGTTGCTAAATATTGCTTTATTGTTATAAAAATTATTTGGTGGTCGTTGAATTAAATTTAATTGGGCAGTCGTGTGATGTTTGTCATCTTAATTTCTTCCACCCTTCTTCCCAAATTCGCAATTGGCTTCTTTGTAATTATTGAGTGAGTCATATGGATGATTCTTGATTGATTACGTTGATCATATATATTAATTCATGTAACTTATTCGTCATGGTTTATTTTGTATTATGAATGCATAACTTACTTTGATTGAATGATTTCATATTTAGAAGATATGTGCTCGATCGGACGCTCAACTAATACGTCAAGCATTTAAGCATGCAATCAACCAGTAAAATGTCTAAGGATGCTAAAGTCATGAACATGACTTAAAGATTTCATATATCTATCGACAAATTTAATTGACGAAGAGTAACCTTATAAACAAGACCCTAATTGACATTCTGTCATAAATTGTCCCTTCCTTTTTTTCCTTTCCCCAAATAACTTCTATGACTGTATACTCATAAGGCTCTCAACCTCTCCTTGTGAGTAAAAGACTTATCCTATCCACAAATCATCCTTTAGGTAAATCACAACCCAAGTTTGACTATATAATGTCTTCTTTAGAAATCAAACAACTCTATGACTGTATACTTGTAAGGCTCTCAACCTCTCCTTGCGGCCGATTACCTTGCTAGTAAGGGCCATAGTGTTGATTTTGGCACACATCTGTTCGATGTGAGCGATCCTGGTCTAACCAAATGGATCAACTATGATGTTATGGGCATTGCCCAACCTCGCTTTATTTGCAATGATAATTAGGACGCTTTTGCGTCCGTCTTTCTAAAAAAAAATAAAAAAAAATCAAATGACCCACCATCCTAATTCAATACTCTCCAAAGCTACTCACCACTAGACACTAATTAATGCATACATAGAATATTCTTTCAAATATTATAATTTATAAGAGATTTTTAAAGAGTAATCATGAAACCTTATTGAAAGGTCTTCGCAGCAAATTAAAAATTTAACAAATTGTGATGGACACAATTTTCCCTTTCATAAACAGCATCAAACACACCTTAATCACGTCTCTTGAGAACTGTTAATGTCCTCCACCAACCCACCCAACTGAACTCCATGATTGTTTCCTCATGGTCACAGTCTTGCAGACAATGAAGGTGCGGATTATCTCACTTTTTATCAACATTAGAAAGTCAAAACTTGGTTCTTTTATAATGATACTTCCAATGCCCTATAGATACACTATCCATGTCCTATAATAATTTTTTTTTATAATATTTTTTTTTATCTTAGAACATATATTGTTCAACAGTAGAATTGGCCATCTTTCAAGATTTAAATTCAATCACGAAAAATTATTTACAAATCATTGTTTTCAGTAATTTATGACTTCAAATCCTTTCCGTTTCGCCGTTGCTCAATGGCTTTGGATTCAATCCCCATTATTCAATCTTCCCCAAAAACCAACCACTCAAACAAACTTACTTGAATGAATTCGGTTGCAACATCTGAATTCTGGTCCTACAGTTCTGAAGTTTGATAGGGGCAAAAAAAAAAAAAAAAAAAAAAAAAAAAACAAAGGAAGAATCAGAATCCATAGAGAAGTGAAGGGTCAACGTGGGTGGTAAAGTTTGGTTGTGGGACAAAGTAAGGGAGCGTGCTGAGATTCCTATTTCAACAAACACATAAAATGAGTATTCAGTACTACTACTGCTCCACCTGTGTGTCCACTGTTAACTGTGGTAGGTAGCTCTACCACTCAAAAGAGGGAAGTAAAAGATATTCCACATGCTCCTTTCTTCATTCTTTCTTGGTGTAAAGTTGATATCACACCTACCCCTACTCTATTGACCATGATTGTCATGCGGGTGACATGTCAGTCGGTTGAATCTGGTTGAATCGGTGTCGGTCATAAAACTGGCATAAACATTACCAGTATGACCGTCACGATCGATTTACAAATTCTTAGTAAGATGATGTCGTTTTAGTAAGTTTGATTAACAAATAATGAATTTATTGTATATTTTATGAATATAAAAGTTAAAAGTTGCTGTAATTTGTTGGATTCGGGTATAAACATTTAGATTTTGACTTTAATTGTTGCACTTAAATATGAATTTTTGTTAATTAATTTGGAATGTCGTATTTAATTAAGCCGAAATGAACCTGCACACACTGATTATATACAACTGGTGTACAATTCCACTTGCTAAACCGGTTTGAAAACTCGATGTTCACATCCTTTCCCTTTGTTTATTTTCTTGGGCCCATTTCTGCATAAGCAAGGCAAATATGTTAACAACTTTCTTCTTCTTCTTGTTCCTCCATCTGGCCCATCCAGGCAAACCTGTTCTAGCTCTACTGTGACCATCTGTCTTTCTCTGCTTTTCTTCCTAGTCCAGTTTTGTCATTGTGCCCCCTATTACAATACAAGCACACTTTCTATGTTTAGTACTGTACATTTGCCTGTCCAAATAGAGGAAAAAGCTGACGTGGACGTGGATTTGCCTGCCATTTCCTCCCTCAAAGAGTGAGCAGCTCACACCTTGTATAAGCACATGGCTTGGACGAGCTTGTTGGGTGTTTGAGTGATCCATAGCTTTTAGCTTGTCTGATTTAGAAAAGTTTGAAGAGCTCGAGGTTCCAAGAAGCCCAGCCCAATCGGCGAGAACCCAATTCGATAACAGGGTACATTGCTAAATCTGTTTCTTCAGTGCCCGGCAAAGCAATTCATGTAGAGGAGGGGTCCAAAAGAAAGAAAGACAAAGTACTGCATTGCACATAGCAAATGGCAAGAGGCATGGTGCTGCATTTCTTCTCCCAGGCACTCAGATCAAATGCATCGTCTTTATACAAATGATGAGGGGAACACAAGGTGAAGTCAGAAACCATCTGAAAATGATGAAGCAAAGGAACTCCTGGCGAGAGAGAAATGCAGGTTGGTCATAGTTCTGTGTCAAAGACACGAACCATCAAATTGGACAGCATCGTTCGGGCGAAAGGAATGTAGCTCAAACTGTACCTGAAACCCAACGAAGATAACACTTTCGAAAAAGCATTCTGCATATTTTACTATACAAACACAAAATGAAGAAGCTTCATTGAAGTATATGCAAAATCACCTCCATTCTTCCACTAACAAGGAAAAGACAAACTTACCAAATCAGGGCACATATTTCACATACTATAGCAATCAATGTCAAAATCTTGTTGTGGATCTGCATTGTTAAACAAGGAGAGAAAACTTAAGGTGGGTTCGGTGTTCGATTAAACGTTGCAGGCAGATTCAATGTTTCAGCCTTTCAGGCGAGCAGGTAAATGTGAACTTACCAAAAGGGCGCAGATAAGTGATATTACGACGCATCCAAGGTATATGGAAGTTGCATACACACGGGTGGAGTCAAACATCATGGTCAGTTGCTGCCCAGTTCCAATGAGAAAGGCTGTGCTGTCAAACAATGGAAGCACAATAGACGTTTAGTTGATTTGATTTCTTCACCGATTGAAGGAAGGGAAAGAGTTCAAAATGCAGACTGACCTTCCAACAGCAAATATGTTGCCGAAAGTGAACAACAAGGCAAACTTGATGGGTTTCACAAACACAATCAATGACTGCAGCAACATAGTACCATACAGAGAAAAAAGAAGCCATTAGCAGGTCGAATTTCTGCGTAGAAAGATTATGTTAGCTCGATGTGTGAAAACTGAAAACTTCTCATAGAGACATTTAGGCATTGTCACAGTTCATGAGTAAAATAGAAAAGCATAAAACGCACTGACACAGCTCATTCTTATAGCTGAATAAGCCCCAAATCAGGACAAGAGTCACTTGCAGAGAGCAGATGACTACCCTCTACCACAGTTTGAATTGGAAATCCCAGAATTTCCAAATTTACAGGCCATCAGCCAATCAAAATCCAATTTTTTTTTACAGATGGACTGAAACTCAAAAGAATGGTGGCAGGATTGGTTACCAGGAACATGAAAGCCAGACCAGCAGCAAGGCAAGCTGCAAAACGTACATTCTCTGCAATAATAGAGAATCCCATCAGCAGCTTGCAGTGGTATCGATCCTCAAATCAATTGGATCAATCGGGGAACAGAACTGAGGGAATTGTATAGCGAAGGAGAGTACAAAAGAAGGAAGAAAACCTGCGTTGCAGTGAGGGAACAAGACCCATCTGAATCTTCCTCCAAGAAGCTCTCTCCCCTGTCGCCATCCTCATCCCCTGCTATGAACTGCTTCAATTTCCTCATCTTTCTCAGTTCAGCTTGCTCTGCGATTTCCTTTTCCTATCAGTCGATCAAAAAATGAAAAAACCAGAATCTTACAGAGTTGAGGGGCACGCGCCGCGCACTTCCTCTGTTAATTCTACGTTCGAGTGAAATTATTGGTTAGCCCCTGAACTTTTACTAGTTTACGATTCCAATCAGTAAACTTAAATTTTGGTCATAGAAATAGTAATGAAACAAAGACAGTTGCGCTTCGATCCCTTAACCGTCGTCACACACAAGAAAATCCTCAATCCACAATGAAAATTTGATGGTCTATAAGGACATCTTGGCCTATATTTAGTTATTTACTTGGTGAGAGTTTTCTTCTTATAATGAGATTCGATTAGATGTATATCTGGTTTCACTATTTAATCACCCCCAATAATTTACGAAGAATGAAGATTAAAATGTGTATAAACCAAGATATTAAGATAATAATATGTCATTGTGTTTAATTGAGTTTATGATGGTAGATTCTTACGTGAAAATATAATGCCTGCAAATCATACTTTAGTAATACAAGTTTTCTTCAATTATTAAGCTCTTATATGGGGGCATTGAACAGTCTTTAACGAATCGGGATAATAATTACCAATAAAAATAGGGCGGCTCATTTAGTACCTACTATAGCCCTTTTATCACTAGTTCAACTATTGTTCGACTATTACATTTAGTTGTTTGCTGTACTTTGATCATCTACTTAATTCCATTATCTATGAAAACAAAAAACAATACCAAGAAAAACTCATATTTAGTGTTAAGACTTTGAGCCTAGAGGCTTAGGAGTTGTGTGAAAATGAAAGTCAAAATTGTACTAGTTTAGGGACTAAAATAACAAAAATTCTCAAGTCCAGAAGCCACATGCTCATTTTGTGTTCCTTTCTTTAGTGGGCAATACTGCACCGTTTCGGTGGTATCTCCGTCAAATGAGAAACGGAATCGGAAAGGAAAACAATTATCTGAGATACTTCGTCCGTCCCCGGAGCCGATTCACTAATTCGACTGCGAGTAGAGTAGTCCGCAGCGAGAAAACCCTAACATCCATTGATAAAGCTCTGCAGAAGGAGACCTAGCTGGTCGCCGGGGAACTTCTGCTCAGCAAAGAAGAGGAAGCCGGCCGGAGTCAACCAGGGAAGATGTCTTCCACTCTGCTGGAGACGACTAGGGCGTCTCATGAGGAAGTTGAGCGGCTGGAGCGGCTGATAGTGAAGGAGTTCCAGAACGATCCTACTTCCAGCAAGGACCGTCTCCTGCAGAGCCACCGCGTTCGTAACATGATCGATACGATTGTCTCTACCAGTCATAAATTGGTAATGTCCCCTCTCTCTATCATTTGCAATCGCTCTCTTTCCGAATTTCGACTTTCTTTGGAGAAAAAGCTGAATGTTAGGTTAACTGAATGTAGTAATTGCTTATGGCTGGTTCAGGTTGATATATACGAAGATAAGGATCAAGCTAGGAAGGATGAGATTGCTGCCCTGGGAGGCCAGACGGCTAGTGGAACTAATGTGTTCAGTGCATTTTATGATAGACTGAAAGAGGTAATGTGCTTAACTTGGAATAAGAACATAGTTTAGGTTGTGTTATCTAAATTGATGGTGACCTGATGATACTTGAATTGCGGCTGATGCTCGAAATTGAAGGCTAATGAATCTTGTTGTTTGAAATTTCTTGGTTGTTAGATTCGTGAATACCATAGAAGGCACCCGGCAGCCCGTGTTGTGGACGTGGATGAGCAGTACGAGGCACTGTTGAAAGAAGAACCTGTCATTGAGTTTACTGGCGAGGTATCCCTCTCTCGCTTCCCACTTCCATACCTTTAGCCAGAAATTAGATGAAAGGGCATCATGCATTACATTGAATTATAGGTGCTAGATAGCCTTATTCGAGCTATTGTTACATGGCCATCTTTCCTGTCCTCTAGCTTCATCCTTGCTTTCGGTTTCAGTTCCTACAGACTACTCAGTAAGGCTTTTGAGATGGGCACTCCGTGTCTCTTTATAGGCCAAGTTGGTGGCTCTATTTAGGCATTGAGTTGTCGTGAATCAGTATCTATACATTAGGGTTCATATTGTGCTCAGAACAAAGATTCTTCTGCTTGCAACCCTTATTAGTCAGATTGTTTGAGTGTTGTTTGGCTATGGTAATATCAATTATCCATCTGTGTCATTAGATTAGGTTAGCATCTGGTTTTTCGTAAAGCTTTCCCTTGTTTATTTTGATTCTGGCTCTCATTTGCTCTTTGGGAACAAAATTCACATTTCAGGAAGCCCATGGAAAGTATCTTGACTTGCATGAACTATACAACCAGTACATCAATGCGAAGTTTGGGATGCCCCGTAATGACAAAAAAGAATCCGAAGACTCGCACATTGAGTACTCAACTTATCTCAATCTTTTCAGTCAACCACAGAAAATCGACCGGAAACTCAAGTTGACCATGTAATTTCTCTTTGGTTCCTGGTATCTGCTTGTGTCTACATGGCCGAGCTTGATTTTAATTGTTGCGTTCAACTCAATGGACATGTTTAGTGTTTTGAATTGTTGGTTTTCCGTGATTTCTCATAGTTTTGATTCTTATTTGCAGGCAATACAGGGAATACACACAGAATCTTTTGGAGTATTTGGTCTATTTTTTCCAACGTACAGAACCATTGCAAGATCTTGATAAAATCTTCTCAAAGGTGTGGTAAAATCTTCTGCAATGTGCATTCTTTAGTTTGGGTGTGGTGATACTGCTGTACTGATATATGCACGCTCCTCAATTTCATAATCATACATAGTTCTGTACTTCTGTTATTGATAGCTATTGTACTTTGCATATGCATTATGGGTCCTATAGTTATTGATGCTAAAGTTGTGAGATGTAGTTACTATTTACTAGAAAATATATTTGATAAAACCATTTCTGCATCTTGATAGAATCTCCTCCAAGGTATCTGTAGACATGTTCTGCACTTGATTTTGGGTGGTCATTCTGGTGTTTTAGTGATATGCACTAGCACTTTCTACTTTTCACACGCACACACACATATATGTACATTAAGGGGCATATAATGTATTAAGAAAGTTGAAACTGATTCGTTATAGCTGAATTGTTTCTGTTTTTGTGCTCTGACCACTCGTCAGTATTTGGAGGCATCTGCTTAAACTAGGTGGTTACTTTGATTTCTTCATGATATTGACTCGGTCTCTTCAGTCCCACACTTCTCTAACATTCTACTGTCTTAAACAGGTTGTAACTGAATTTGAAGAGCAGTGGAAAGATGGGAAGGTACCTGGATGGGGGGGAGGTCAGGAAAATGGGCCTGTTCCGGCTCAAGACACCTCAATTGATCTTGATTATTACACCACAGTAGAAGAGCTGATGCAAGTGGGTCTTGAAAAATTGAAGGAAGTAAGTATGTTCTTTTTGCTTCTATGGTTGCTTTTACTAGGATGTGGTTTGCTGCTTGCTCTTCTTTTGGTGGGTAATTTTTTTTGTGAGTGATTCTCTTGCATCTTGTACACCAAATAGTAATTTGACATGGTACTATTAATTGTCAGTACCATTACTTGGTTCTGACCCTACATTCTTGCTGCAATGGAGCCTTTAATTTAGAAAATGCAAATAAGAAGAGGACAAATGAATGATTTCATACAACAAAAGTTGCTTACTTGCTTACAGTCTACTTCTTTCTTATTTTAGCTTTAGGTGTCTTACTTTTGTGGATGTCGAAACTTCGGATTTTCGTTGATACTTGCTTGATATATTTTCATTTGTCAGGCATTGGCTTCATTGGGATTAAAGACTGGAGGCACTCTTCAGCAGCGTGCAGAAAGACTTTTCCTCACAAAGGTTGCTTTCTTACTCTTGCCTTACACTTGCCTACTTTTATTGTCCTGTATCTCATTCTCTGCTAACTATATAACTAAGGTGTTTCTTTCCTTGCAAGTCATATGCTGTAATTGATAGTTCTTATATGTCCTATTTTATCATTTGCAGCACACTCCTCTGGAAAAATTGGAGAAGAAGCATTTTGCCAAAGGTTCACGATTACCAGTACAGAATGGAGCTGCTGCTTTGAAGGAGAACATCAACTCAAAGGAAGTTGCTTTGATGGAGGCCAAAGTCATCAAACTGTGTACCTTATTGAGTGAGGTTTGTCTCTAATGCGCAGTGCCTTTTTTCTTCATGCATACTTTCTGGATTTTGAAGCCTGCAAATTGCACATTACCTTGCATTTTGCCAAAGCTTGAAGTACTTTCCCCCCTTCTTCTGGATGGCAATATTTAATTATGGTTCTTTCACGAACCTTTTCAGACAATCGAAAGGACAAAAGAGAATGTTGAGAAGAAGCAGGCTTTGACATACGAGGAAATGGAATCAGAACGTCAGGAGGTAAAGCTCTATTACTATTACTATTACTATTACTATTATTATTATTATTATGATGATGATGATGATGATGATGAACCTTCCTTGGGATCCTTTCATTCTTTCTTTTGCTCTAGGTTTCCTCTTTTTTGCTTTGTCATGCATCTTGTAGTTGCAAGCTGACTGATGGTTAACTGTTGTTGTGGCAGGAGGAGATGCAAGCAGAAAGTGAAAGTGACGATGATGACCAACAAATTTACAACCCTCTCAAGTTGCCCATGGGTTGGGATGGAAAGCCTATCCCATACTGGCTGTATAAGCTTCACGGTCTCGGCCAGGTACTCTCTTAGCTATGAACTGTGACACAGTCAAGCATATTCATCTGCTTTTTAGCTGCTCTGCCCAACTCGCATATAGCCTAGTATCATATTATGACCGTATATTATATAACGGTAGACCTGTTCTTTTCTGGTTTTGATGGACGTGTTCTTGTATTTTGGGTTTTAAAATCGCTATCTGCTAATTTCCTTTCGCCCCTGCAGGAATTCAAGTGTGAGATCTGTGGTAACTACAGTTACTGGGGCCGTAGAGCTTATGAGCGGCACTTCAAGGAGTTTAGGCATCAACATGGGATGCGTTGCCTAAACATTCCAAACACCAAGAACTTCAACGAGATCACATCCATTGAAGTACGATCTTACTTCAGCATTACCATTTTTGTCTTGTCTTTTTTTTTTTCTTTCAAAAGTGTAAAACATCTCTTCTCTCGACGCAGGAAGCAAAGGAGTTATGGAAAAGGATTCAAGCCCGACAAGGAATAAATAAGTGGCGCCCGGATCTTGAAGAAGAGTACGAGGACAAGGAAGGCAACATCTATAACAAGAAGACCTTCACCGATCTGCAGCGTCAGGGTTTGATCTGAGTCTGACTATGCCCTGCCTGTGGAAGAAACTTGGCTGTGCTGCTCTTCTATTGTACCAACTTTTGCTTCTCATTGTTTGTTAACCACCTCAGCCAACCACTTTGTAATGATCTATTGTTAGCTACAGCTGTAGAATTTCCTGTGTATTTCTGAAACCCAAGTTTTGGTACAAAACTTGCCATAAAAAGAAGAAAATAGTTTTGGTACGAGACTTAGTTTCATCCTCTCTTCTTCTTCCTTCATTTTCGTAACATCTACTGTCCAGGCTTATTGTGTATGGATTATGCAGAAGTCTGTCCTCGAAATTTTGCCAGCAATGTTGGCATGAAAGTTCAGCCGGGATGCGAATGGTCATAGTCCCGTTTCTAGTTCAAGAATTGTGTGCAATCTGTAAGAGATGTCGATTGTTTTGAGCTACATGAATATGTACACAAACTGTACATTCAAATTTCATTCTAACCAAATCACCTTCTGCTATCTACACACTTCTTACTGATCCAAACAAGACCTAGCAAACAACAAGGCCGACCCATTCACTCCACGAAGCACCAGATGCCTAGCGTCAACAAACGTCCCACACACAATCCTCGACAAATCGAACATCTCTGGAGGCAACTGGATTCGGACCTCCCGAAGTGCATCTCGTGCCTGAACCACATTTCCACGACCCTTCTCTCCATCGTCAAACGTCATTGTGATGTCAACATTCTCACCCGAAGCAAGCTTCGCCACACGGAGGCTCGATGGGAACTCCTTAAATGGCAGGGCTTTCCTCCATCTCCCGGCTAGTAACTTGGGGGCCAGGGAATCCATATCGGTAGATTCCCCGAATGAGAATCTCCCGCTGGTGGTGTTCTTTTCTCCCTTGAGGTACAGCCGTTTCCCTGACATTAGTTCAGTTTGATTTTATATGGAAGTGATGGATATGAAAGCGCTTGCCTACCTTTGGCTTGGAATTAGGATTGAGCATCTCCATCAGTTCAATGAAATACGAAAATCCTGTTTCGCTATTATAGCAAAAGTACCACAAGTTAGCCTGCTCTGTTTATAAATACCAAAAGGTTTGTAACACCATTGATATAATAAGGGCGAAAACAAGTGGGGATTACCTGAGGCCTACTGTAAATGTATTCCTCTATAATTCGCACAGCAGTTGAGCCGAGACCCCATCGAATGATATCCATGGATGGAGTAATACGCCATCTGGGTCCGCACAGAAATGGATGCCTAAGAGCATCCAAACAGCTGCAAAAGAGAAGCCAGCCTTGGAAGGAATTTACGAGATCCGGCGAAGGAGAAGGATACGAAACGGAGCTGGCAAAGGCAGGAATATACAAAGAACAGAGAGGAGACAGGGAGGAGTTAAGAACGAGAAGAAGAAAAAAAATAACGAAGGCGGCGGCGGCGGACGGTGGGTGGCCGGCGAGAGCTTTGTTATTGGGGAGCGTTTGGGGTAAACGTTGAGAGAGGCAGAGGAGCAACAATATGGTTATTCTACTAACTCGGTAAGTGGTTAGTAGATACTAACACGGTCGGATTTCAGGTCGCGTCGCCAAGCCATGATTGGAGGGAGTGGGCTTGCGGGCGCCGTTGTGTGATGGGCAAGAGAGGGCCAGCTCGGACAGACCCAAGCCGAGCCATTTTTGATTGGGAAAAGTGGGTCCACAATTGAAAAAAAAATCCCAAAATTTTCATACCCAAACCCTATTCTCTCTCTCTCTCAACCCGCGTTTTTCATTCTCTCCACTCTCTCCAGTCTCCATAAACATTTTGTTCCTCTCCCTCTCTCCGTTTTTTCTTCTCCCGACGAGGAAGAAGTTTTGGAAGGGTTTCGCTGTCCTTGAAGAAAGAAGACGTCGCCGACGAAAAAGGAAGGCGCCGCCGAAGACAGCGCCGCTGCTGGTAGTGGGAGGTAGAAGACGACTGCAAGGAGGACGCTTTTATTCAGGTTGCCGTCTTCTCCTCTCCTTGTTGTTGATTTTGTTTGTGGATACTAAGTTAGGGTTTCATGGATTTTTTTGTTGAGATCTGGGTTTCGTTTATCGATTTCAAAATTTAGGGTTCATGCGATTCGAGGGTTTAGGGTTTCATTTCTCGATTTGTAGATTTAGGGTTTCATGGATTCGAATATGGGTGCTTAGGGTTTTGTTTCTAGATTACCATATTTAGGTGTCGTGCGATTCAAATTTGGGGGTTATGGGTTTCGTCTCGATTTGTAGATTTAGGGTTCTAGGATTCGATTTTGGGGTTGTGGATTTTATTTCAAGGTTACCAGATTTAGGGGTTCTCAAATTTCATTTTGGGGGTTGTGGATATTGTTTCCAGATTATCTGATTTAGGGTTTGTTGAATTCGATTTTGGGGAATCTGGGTATCGTTTGTCGATTCCTTGATTTAAGGTTACATGGATATCAGTTTTGTCACTTCCTATACTTGTTCTGGATATCAAGAGACTTATTCTGGTCATTGTGGATATTGGTTCAGTGAATGGGGAGATCGAAAAAGAATCCAAAGCCCTACAATGAGGGTGAAGGATCATCACAGCAGCCACCAGATGAACAACAGCCACATGTTTCATTTCTCACTTCGTTTCTCAATTAGTTATATTGGCTAAAACTATAACTCTGATGTGTCGATATTAGTTTTGTTAGGATGGATATTGTTTTGTGTGTTTTAGTTATTTGTCTGGGAATTATGGATATTTTTCTTAATATATAGCTGTGTTTCAGGAACAACCCGTGAGGAAGAGATCCAAAATGGTTGCATCGAGGTCTCGTCAAGGAGATGGATCATCACAGCATCCGCCGGATGAACAATCACCAAAGGTTTCATTTCTCACTTCGTTTCTCGATTGGTTATTGTTTCCGATACCTTTCAGGGATATCATTTATCTGTGTTTGGATACACTCTTGCTTTAGTATGATAATAATTGGATATATTGGCTAAGAAAACTACTCTGATGTGTCGATATAAGTTCGGTTAGGGTGGATATTTAACTGTACGTTTTAGTTATTTGTCGGGTGATTATAGATATTTTTACATGAATATCATTGATCTCCGTTTGGATACACTCTTTCTTTACTACGATAATAATTGGATATATTGTGGCTAAAAACTAGGGGTGGGCATTGGGTGGGTCGGGTGGATTTTGACCCTAAAATGCACCCACCCGCGCTTAAACGGATTGATAATTTTTAACCCACCACCCACCCACATTTAGTCTCGGGTTGGGTCGGGCGGATGGTGGATGATGCGGGTGGGTTTGTGGGTTCACCCACATCACAATGTATATAATATAAAGGAATCAACTTGACATGATAATAGGCGAAGAGAATCATCGAGGGAAACAAGAAGTTGAAATAGGGCGAAAAATGTCGAATTAGTTCTTAAATTGGATAGAAATTCTATTATGAAAGAGTTTTCTACATATTGAGATGATTATTAGGTGCAAGGAACTAAGGAAAATAATTCCACAAAGGAAAGAGCGGTGATCTAGACACAAGAATTAGAGGAAAAAGTAAAGGGAAGAAGAGGGGATCTCTATTTGGAAGGTTGGCTTTGAGGTTCAAACTCCAGGAGCAGTCCGAGTTTATATCTAACGTCTCCACTCTCCTCTCTCTAGCGCCAACGACTTTGATCTTTTTGCTGTTGGGTTGAGCGGGTCACCCGCACACTCACCCACAACCCACCCACCACCCGGCGGATGGCTCCCAGCGCAACCCATCACCCACCCACAGACCCACCCACTTAACAAAATTCGGGTCAAATGCGGGTGGGTCGGCCCAAACCCGCGGATGATCCGCCCGCATGCCCAGCCCTACTAAAAACTACTACTCTGATGTGCCGATATTAGTTCGGTTAGGGTGGATATATTAACTAAAAACTACTACTCTGATGTGACACGTGTGTACGACCTTCCCCTTCATCCGAATCACATACACGACATGTTTTTTCCACATTTTGAGGCCCATGTTTTTAAGATCTTCACGGACTGGGTCTGTGACTGTGTAGGTTTCTAGTGCAAGATAGATAATACACGGACTTCACGACAAAAGAGACCTTGGGAGTCAAAATGCCAGTTATACCGATCAACAGGTGTAAGGTGGCAAAGAAATATATGAAATGAACGATTCTTGAATGATCACATTTCTAACCACCAAGAGATAAATTGGTCACTCACCCATAACCCCTCAGAGCCAGCAACTACTAACAGCAAATATAGTGTTGTCAAATGGTCAAGTCCCATATACTAAGTGACTCAAAAGCAGGCTTAATAAAAAGTACTAAAAGGCAAACAACCAAGCCCAACCCACCAAGCCTGGCCATCAACTCGACAAACCAATTCATCTTCTTCTTCTTCTTCTTCTCCGGACTTTGAGGTGGAGGAGTCGGCAGAGCAGAGTACTGGTACCGGTGATACCTAACACATATGAGCAAAACACAACACTGAATCGCCAAAGCCATGGCCATAAACCCGTCCGGAATCCAGTACACAAGGCTCTGCATCAGCACGACGACAAGCAGATCCTTCCGGACCCTGACGTCCGGGGAGCACAGGAACGCGAAGAACGCGCCGTAGACCACCACGCTGGCGCTGACAACCAGCGAGAAGAGGTCGATCCGGATGATGAGCAGCCTGTTGGTGAGGTCGCGATCGGAGAAATTGGCGGAATCGTAGTAGTGTCGCGCGAGGAGGGCTGCTTGCAGGCACGCGAGATCGAGCAGGAGCTTGATCCGCCGGCCTAGCGGTTTGTCGGGTCGGGGGCGGACTAGGGCTTCCACCAACGCCTGGAGCGCGAGTGCCGCCGCCATGACGTAGATCTGGAAGAAAGGCGAGAGAAAGATCGGCGCCGAGGTTGCTATGCGGCGTGGCACTACGTATAGTTTGGTGAGGAAGAAGGAGGATGTGGAAACGGTCAGCCCCTTCCTGAAATACTTCTTGCAATAGAGGTCGTCGTCGGTCGTTTTCATGGTTTGGTTGAACGGGAGGTGGATCTGAATCAATAATGTTACTGAATGGAAAACTAGGTCATCCATGGTAATTTTATTTAGTTAAAAAAAAAGATAAAATCATGCAACCAACCTGTGAAATTGATGAGATCGGAAAAGCAGAAGCTCCAAAACCCTAATGCAGCCGGCTGCCTTGTGTATCTCCCTCGACCCAGACGGTTTATATAGACTATAGAGGCCTCAACCCTATTATCTTTCCGTTATTACTTCGAAAACTATTTAAATATTAGTGTATGATTTAGAAAAGGAAACTAAATCTTATTAAAAAGAAAGAAAGAAAAGGGAACTGAAACATATTTTAAAATTTTCAACCGCTATATATTCTACCGGCGAAAGTTTAATCGTTCACCTTGATTATACTTTAAATAGAACTCAACCCTATTGTTGTCCCTTATCTCTCTTTTTCTCTTTTTTTTTTTAATGAATGGCTAAACATCGCTCTAATTTTACTTTTTCGCCCTAACTTAAAATATAAAATTCCTAAACTAACCTTATTTTTTGTTTATCAGCAATCGCCAAACTTCGCCCGATTCCTCTCCAAACCCTACTCCGCTGCTCATTTCTTCATCTTCATCTCCACCATCAGTCCCTTTGTCCTCAATAATCTAACCCCATCTAGTATGCATCCTCCACTCTAGTCAACATTGAGCACCTGCTGAACCCATCTCTGCCAAATAATTCTCATTTGGCCTCCTCTCAATCCCGATCAGTCATCCTGTTCATGTCATTGCTCTGCCTCTCTTCCTTGAGGGTTTCATACGTTCATTTTTTTATCAATTGTTGGCTAGAAAGAACAAGAAGGATGCATGTTGATTGTGTATATTCTAAACTAGTTGGAAGATGGTTTGAAAGCTTCTTAATTTATAAAGCTTCTTGTTATAGGAAGGGGAGTTTATATAGAAGGGGAAAGGCTGATTTGTTTTGGGGAAAATTGGGGATTTTTCCTTAAACACCTGATCCCTGCTTATCTATGGTGCTCTTGAGCAGCAGGGTCTCGAGGATAGGAAGGAAAGATGAGAGGCGGAAACCGGGGAGAAGAGAAAGAGAGGTCGGGAGAAAGGAGAAGAGAGAGTTTCAGCTTTCAACCGAATTTTTGTTGGGTAATTTTTTTAATAAAAAAGGAGAAAAGGGTCATTTTTATTTTAAAAGTCAGGGCGATATAATACTAGTAGGGCGACAATTAGCAATCCTTTTTTTTATTCCCTCTAGCCTTTGGTATTTTCCTGGTTAAGTGAATTGGAAAACTATTTAAATATTAGTGTATGATAAAATTATTTAAATATTAGTTTATGATACTGACCAATTGTGCTCCCCAATATATTCCACCGGCAAAAGTTACTCGTTGCCACCGGCGGATGCAGGATATAGTAGAGTAGTGGGCCGCATTTTAACTATAAATTAGATACCATAAACAAACAAACAAAAAAGTATATCTTTCATTAAAATATTAATTGTACACAACGATATTTTAATTGAGCAAATTTATCAATTGTTCACGTATACCATATATCTTGCAACACAAGTCACATATAGGAATCAAATTTAACAAAACATTTAGCAGAAGAAAACACGACTCATGCATAAACCCCGTCCGAGCCAATAGAATTCACTATTTCTCCTTAAGGAATTTAGTTCCCCTCTACGGTACCCAAGATTAATGGAACTATTCCTCCCAGGATAGAACGGACGTATCTTTTCTGGTGTACAGGTATTTGAAACCCCAGAAACCATCGAACGCAACGAACGGCGAGAAGTCACACGACTCTGTTTTCTTTTATGTGTTTGTAGAGAGGAGAAGGAAAAAAATGAATAAGAAAAACTATTTTCATTCTTTCAGCCGAAAATCTCTTGAAAAAATTCATGTATGAAAACAGAGGGGGATGGTGCTATTTATAGAAAATGAAGGGGTGTATGTGAAGGGATGTGACCCTTCGGATGGATGGTTACACCTCCAACCAACACATTGGCTCATTTCAAAATTATGAACCATTGCATCGGTTCGCCCATGATAGTTGGACCGGTTGGTTCACTCCAACCGCCACATCGGTTTGGTTCAAATCAATTTGGTCCGGTTGGTTACACAAACCAATTTGACCAATTACCAAATGATTTAATCAAATCAATTGACCGAATCCAATGCATCCTTTCCATATATAACAATATGGTATTTCAAGAGTTTCTCTTTACTCATTCCCCTTTCAATTCCATTCACACCATTAAAAAATCCCAACATCGAGATGATCAAGAAAGATTCTTATAGTTACGTATGGCCGGTTGGCCTTACAAGCAAATTCATCACTCATTCTACTAGGGGTGTTCAAACGGTTTGGTTACCATGGTAACCGTTTTAACCAGTACTATTTGGATAATTTGGTTTGGTTAATTTGGATAATTGGTTTGGTTTGGTTAAAGTTTTTAGCTTGTTTGGTTTAGGTGGTTTGGTTTGGTTTCACACACTCCTAACCAGTCAAACCAAATTAACCAGTTAAGTAATTAGTCATATATCTAACATATATTATATACACACACTTAATACTTTGCATAACCACTCAAGAGTTAACGTTCATCCCTTTTAGCTTTAGGCTCATAAAATATAAAGCTCAATATTGCTCATATAGTGTATATTTGTATATGTAAAATGTAGACCACAATATATGGACGCCTAATTTAGATAAATTTCATACATTATGATGGATGAAAACTTGAAAGGAAGGTCATTTCCAGCCTATGATAATTGCTAAGAGACTAAGTCAATTTACACAAACACAACAATTCATTAACCCATACCATTGTCATAAAATTTTGTTAGATGAATACTTCTATACTAATCGTAAGATAATTGTCTTAGTTGCATGTATTTTTGTTAAGGGTCAACTATAACAGTAACTACGTGTTGATTGTTATGTTTTATTCATTATATAAATTGCGAATTGTTGCATTAACCGAAAAAATTTCATCGTCAATGATAATGTGACTTTATATTGGTTAATCTGGTTAACCAATTAACCAAACCGATTAAACTTTAGTTTGGTTAATTCGGTTGTTATATTAGTTTGGACGGTTTGGTTATGATATTGTATTCCATGGTTAATGGAATTTAGCCTTATTTGGTTTGATTATAACCATGGTAACCGTTTGAACACCCCTACATCCTACTACACAAATCAGTTCTTGCATATTTCATTTGTTGAAAAGATTATAGCCATCATATTCATATCCGCCACCCAATCCCATATTGCATGGACATGCTGACCACTGCAGCCTGATCCATCTCCAGGAACTGAATTCTTGGGGCTCGGATGAGGAGGCCTGTTCTCCCAAACTCGGCCCATTACCTAAGCCTTTGGGTTTGGTCTCACCAGACCAGTCACCAGGAACTGGTGACGGGGTTACGACGATTGCACGTATCACCATTTTTGGCGACACCCACAAATCTACTATGTTTTTTTTTTTGTAGCGTATGCTAGAATCTAACAATCAAGAAGACCATCCAAACCACCAATATATTATATAGGGCAAATGCCACATTTGGTCATTGAGATTATTAAATTGTGTCATGTTTAGTCACTAAAAAATTTAACATTAATTTTGGTCACTCGAATTACTGAAACAGGTCACATTTGGTCACTCTCCCGTTAATTTCCGCCCAAATTCATTAGTGGAGTTGGACGGAAACTAACGGGAGAGTGACTAAATGTGACATGTTTCAATAATTCGAGTGACGGAGTTGGACAGATGCTATGAGTGACCAAATGTGACATGTTTCAGTAATTCGAGGACCAAAATTGATATTAAAATTTTCTAGTGAATAAACATGACACGACTTAGTAATTTCAGTGACCAAATGTGGCATGTACCCTTAATAATCTACTCTACTATCTACACATAATATAATACGCCGAAGGGAAAAACGGGAGTCCCATTTCAAATTTCCTGCAACGAGAGTAAAAGTAGGAAGGACATTTTGGTCTTCACAATTACTTTTTTTTATTCATTAAAAAGACAGGTACTGGGATTCGAACCATGACCATTTTAAAGAAAAGCAAGGATCATAACCAATCACACTAAGTACATTTGTTGTATCTTTTTAAATTAAAAACATATAATAGCTGGGAGGAAAAAACCCTTCCCCAATTTAAAATTTCCTGCTCCAGGAGCGTTTGTAGGAAGGGTAGAATAGGGAGTGTCAATTTTTTTCTCTTTCCTCTGTGGAACGGGCCAACTTACCGTACACATGCGGATTTGAACGGATCCAGGAGTGTCAATTTTTTTTCTTTAAGCCCTTTTATTTTACCGTTGTGATAAAATATATATGAAAAGGCAAAAATAATACTTCTTTTTATTGCTAAAAATAAAAAGTTTAACAATAAACTAATGCATGGTATCTAATGGGCTAACCGCTAACCATAAAATAAAAGAGTTGAATGGGCCTGACCTACATGAGATTTGGCCATCAAGTAAAACAAATGAATATCATTGGTTTGCCATTCTAAAACAAACTATTTTCTCTTGCATAATATATCTTATGCTATTATTTTATATCTTAGTGGCTAAAATATATTGTATTTTAAAGTTATTCAATGGTTCAACCTCGACCAACCCAATTAGTCCAATTTTTATCATTTCAAATATATATTTTATAATTATTTGACATCATAATGATCAAATTATAGTGTATTTTATAGGGAATCGTTTGATATTCGTTAGTAAAAAACTAAACATAAAGATCTATTTGGTTATTTTATACATTAAAACGATCCAAAACATTTTCAGTTCCTTTTGAATTTCTATGGTTTTATTCCCGAATAAGTGATGTGCAAATTGCGAACTGTAATCGTCTCTTTTCTTTCACTATTTTTTATTTTCAAATAGAAAGTTTAAAAGTAAAGAATAATTAGAATTTGGCATGGGTCGGTCAAACAGGCCGAATTTCAAGTTTTGGTCCGTTTGTTTTATGCATTGCAAATTTATTATCATGTTGTTGGAAATGGCTTGGAAAAAAGACATATAAGTTGTACCTTTGCAGAAATGTCCTCAAATGTTTGAATGCTTTGTGAATCAGGTTCCGTGACTTTTGTGATGGTGTATGTGCTTGACGGTTGCTCGATGTTGTAATTACTTAATTTGAGAGTAAATCTTTTGATTTTCCCTATGAGTTGTGATACCAGT